TAATGCGTCATCCGCCGCCGCCGTCATCCCGGGGAAGAAAAAAAAATATGGCGGAGCGAGTCAGCGCTGCAGGTGCAGTGTTGCTAACTCAGCGACTTTTCAGACCCCTCCAGCGACTATTTTTTTAAAAAGCGACTAGCGACAAATCTGGCGACTTTTTACGATGTCACTGGCGGCTTTTGGAGACTCTTACGTGAAAGCATGTATCGTTCCTACTCTTGTCCTCCAGCGGCAGCTGCTGCCGTGGGGCGCCTCCCCCATCCCAACGCCTTTCTCCCTCTCCCACAAGAATCCCTCTCAGCGCTGCAGTCAGAGCCGCAGGATTTTAGTGAGGAGTTTACCCTCAGCGTCCAGACTGCAAATGAAGCGCGCATGCCCCGGGATTGACGGCGCAAATTGATCACAATAATTAAAATAGCCTGCGCTTTGTAAAGTGAAAAAAGTCGTAACATGCAACTTTTGTCAAAACAAATGAACATGGCACAGAAGCACCACTGTTATGACGCAGCACCTGAAAAGAAAACATGTTGGAGCCTTCAATGGCAGTGAAGAGAGCTGATCAGCAGGATGAGTAACCATGTTTGTTTGGTTTTAAAGTGGGGAAACGTAAGTTACAGGTAGCTCATCTGATGCTTTCATTACCGTGTTAGTAGGTTACAGAAAGTGATAAGGTTGGCTACTTATTTTACTTTTAATTTCATTTGAATTAGCTTAAGCAGCGTTTATATTTTCTTTATAAATAAATTAATTTGCAAATTATGAGGGCAAGGCTTTTAAAGTTTAAATCTTCTGGCAAAGATAAAGTAAAGAAGATCCTGCAATTTATGGAAGTAAAGCAGAATAAAATCCAGCAAGATCAGTAATATGTCAATTAATTATCTGCCACATTCCCATGTAAATATCTGTCTTTGGAGGATGTGTTTTTTAGCACCCCTAGTTCTCTCATTTTTATTCCAAATACAATTTATAATTTGAATCACAGGGCTATTTTTATCTCTATGGTTCAGTATTTTCTCAAGTAGCAACTTTAACTGCTATACTTTCCTGTCTTAAAAGGCAGAACTCTTCTAGTCTAAAAAAACCTCATTTGTTGAAATGGGGGGGCCTATTGTTTGAACCCCTTAGGGGCTTTAAAAAACAAAAATGCCTGTCTCTTTTTGCGCTTTATGAAACAAAGTAGCCTATATTTTGTGGATGTACAGCTACATTTCTCATGTAAGTTTGCGTAGTTTTAACACAAACATTTATTTTTCATATTGCACCAGTACAGTTAATGAGCAACCTGTACTTGTGTGCTTGTTTGTTCTGTCTAAAATGTTTATTTTGGAATAAAGAGGTTAATATAAAAAAAATATTTTGTGTCCGATTCATCGATTAATCGAAAAAATAATCGGCCGATTCATCGATTTTCAAAATAATCGTTAGTTGCAGCCCTAATTTAGATAATCAGAAAAACAAACAGAAGGCTAGAGTTACTCACACAAAACAGCTTGAATATTCTGGCACTGGTAGCTGGAAAACACACAGCATATATAGGAGCTGAAAACAGGTGGATCAGATAAGCAGTAATGAGAAATACAGACAGAGTTAAACAGGTGAGTGGAATGAGCAATCAGGCCAGCCACCAGTGCCAGGATCATGACAACAAGACCACTGATAATCTTCCTCGATCTGGGGCTCCACGCAAGATCTCTCCCCGTGGGGTCAAAATGATCACAAGAACGGTGAGTAAAAATCCCAGAACCACACGAGGGGACCTAGTGAATGACCTGCAGAGAGCTGGGACCAAAGTAACAAAGGCTACCATCAGTAACACACTACGCCGCCAGGGACTCAAATCCTGCAGTGCCAGACGTGTCCCCCTGCTTAAGCCAGTACATGTCAAGGCCCATCTCAAGTTTGCTAGAGAGCATTTGGATGATCCAGACGATGACTGGGAGAATATCATATGGTCAGATGAAACCAACATAGAACTTTTTGGTAAAAACTCTACTCGTCGGAGGAGAGAGAATGATGAGTTGCATCCAAAGAACACCATACCTACAGTGAAGCATGGGGGTGGAAACATCATGCTTTGGGGCTGTTTTTCTGCTAAGGGACCAGGACGACTGATCCATGTGAAGGAAAGAATGAATGGGGCCATGTATCGTGAAAACCTTCTTCCATCAGCAAGGGCATTGAAGATGAAACGTGGCTGGGTCTTTCAGCATGACAATGATCCCAAACACATCGCCCGGGTAACGAAGGAGTGGCTTCGTAAGAAGCATTTCAAGGTCCTGGAGTGGCCTGGCCAGTCTCCAGATCTAAACCCCATAGACCATCTTTGGAGGGAGTTGAAAGTCCGTGTTTCCCAGCGACAGCCCCAGATCATCACTGCTCTAGAGGAGATCTGCATGGAGAAATGGGCCAAAATACCAGCAACAGTGTGTGAAAACCTTGTGAAGACTTACAGAAAACGTTTGATCTCTGTCATTGCCAACAAAGGGTATATAACAAAGTATTGAAATGAACTTTTGTTATTGACCAAATATTTATTTTCCACCATATTTTGCAAATAAATTCTTTAAAAATCAGACAATGTGATATTCTGTTTTTTTTTTCTCATTTTGTCTCTCATAGTTGAGGTATATCTTTGATGAAAAATACCGGCCTTTCTCATCTTTTTAAGTGGGAGGACTTGCACTATTGGTGGCTGACTAAATACTTTTTTTTCCCCACTGTACCTTACTTTAAATTATTATTGCTGGAGATTCCTAGTAATTCCAGGTTGAAACCAGTGATTACTAACTCATTGTGGTCCATCTTTAAAACAAATTTTGTTCAAGTCATATTTCTTACCTGATTGCTCGCTCTGTGGTTCTCCCTTAGTTTCAAAAACTTAGTTTCAAGCTTACCTGTCCCTCCACAAACAGCGTAACATGCTTGTTCCTGTCAATGAAACTGACCGTAAGGTGGGATATAGATATTCCACCTATAACAGCGTTCCTCCATGCAACATATGGCCTATAGGATGCAACTCTCACAATTTGGGGGCTATTTTTATTCAAAAATAATAGTATTCCTAAAGTTTTTGGTTTAATCGGGTTGGAAGTTGTGTGTTCACTCTATTGAGTGACCAACCCATCTTATTTGGCAGTGGTTTTGCACTGATGGGCAGGGTTTCCGTGGGTCATTAAATTATATATTTTGAGGCCTTAATTGGTATAAAAAATAATTAAATGTGATTATAGTGGCATTTAAAATGAAAAGTCAAACACAATTAGACGCCAAATGACGTTGAAAAGGACTACTGACTGTGTAACTGTGAAAGTTGCATATCAGTTAAGATTAATCTTGTGCCCCTTAAGTGAGAAAGGGATTTGGGAACAATTAAAAATTAAACGCAAAAACATAATTTAATCTGGTTAATTGGATTTTCTAGTTCAATAACATTTGGGCTCTTCGTAACGAAACAAGTAGTGGTATGTCTGAGTAAAATTATCCTGGTTTTTGAGCTGTTTCAGAATTTAGCAGGACAAATTAGAATTTGTTTAATGATGAAAGTCCTCAAATTAAGCCCGAAATGTACAGAAAAACCTTAATGTTTTTTCTACTTAAAAAAAATTCCATAGCATTTCTGTTTCAATTTTATGGAGACTCTTTACATTATCAGTGTTCTATTTCACAGCCTTCTTAGTGTTTTAGGGTAGCTTTAGAGTAGGCTTGTCCCGATCCGATACACGTATCGGATCGGGACGCCGATATTGGCAAAAAAATGCGTATCGGCAAAGCATTTAAAATGCCGATCCAGACTGCCGATCCAGTTTTAAAAAAAATCTGGTCCGTATTTTCCAGTTTCGCTGATTGAAACGATCCATTCCACTATTTTGCGCCAGTGTTCCCCTGTTTTGCATTTTTATTAAAACTTACAGTAATACTTGCACCTTTAACTGTTTACGGTTTTACTGTTCACTGTGCAATTTCAGATTGCTATTCATAATTTTGTCCAGTTTGTGTTTATCTCTTAATAAACAGGTAAGTTTGTTGTTAGCAAGCATTGTGTTTTATTCAATCTCACCTAATTTAGCTGGCTAGATGTTATCAAGAGTACTAAAACCCTTTTCAACATGAGTCTTACAACTAAGGCTAAATACTTTAACTTAAACTTAAATACATGCTCAGATAGGCTGGTATCGGCCAGTATCGGTATCGGATCGGAAGTCCAAAAACAATATCGGTATCGGATCGGAAGTGCAAAAACCTGGATCGGGACATCTCTACTTTAGAGTAACATTTTCCCTTCTCATTTATACTGTTAGAGCATAAAAATAAAATGTTTGTGTGCACTATGTATAACAAATGTATGAAATCATACTCGCCATTCAAAACACTCGGTAGTGTTACTCCAGATAAAATAATTTAAGTTCACTCAAATATTAGGCTAAAAGTTAGCTACAGAAACCAAGCTAGCAAGATGTTTTAACACTTCACATGGCAGTAAAACATCAATGTTTTGTGTACTGGAAAAATGAAAATCTCGTTTGGGCCGCCACAGTCTTATATAGACGCAGAGAGACAGATGGTCATTGGCAGTTCTACTCCCCGGGTGAGACCCATTCCAAGTGGGAGTTATATTTTTTTTGGAAGCACGCGTCCCGCTCTCCTTTATAAAAATGCCGCCCCGGCTGCCTGGTTCGCCAGTGCAGTGTTGCCAACTCAGCGACTTTGTCGCTATATTTAGCGACTTTCCAGACCCCTACAGCGACCCTTTTTTTTAAAAAAAAAAAGCGACTAGAGACAAATCTAGCGACTTTTCTGGTGTCACTAGGGACGTCATACACACTCCACTTTGTTTTAAAAAAATATATAAATATTAAGATTTAAAGATAAAATTGGAGGTCCAAACCTGTGATTGTGGTGTCAGAGATGAAGTACATGCTGGGAGATGTTCCATATATATGTAGTTAGATCAACACAAGGATTATTAAAGAGAAGTCTTTCTGCTATGTTTGTCTTTCCAGACCACCTGCACGATTATGTTGGAAAAGAGGAGGATTTCTCTGACCAGCCGCTCTATGAACAGGAGAGGAATTCCAGTTTGGACCAAGAGGAACCAGAACCTCTGCAGATAAAAGAAGAGCAGCAAGAACCAGAACATTCCTGGACAAAAGAGGAAACCATGGAGCTCCCCATAAGTGAGCATGAAGAACACCTTGTTCTGAAGCAAGAGGCAGGAGATGCGGGAGAAAAACTTTCCCCATGTTTGACATGTGGAGAAACATTTCTGAAAAAGGAACATTTAATGGGTCACATGAGAACTCACACAGGTCAGAAGATTTATGAATGTCTGTCCTGTGGAAAACGCTTCACCTCTAAGTCTGATCTTAATAATCACAACAAAATTCACACTGGCAAGAAGCCTTTTTCCTGTACCATTTGTACCAAGACGTTCACTCAAAAGAGTAATTTGACTTCTCATATGAGAATTCACACAGGTGAGAAGCCTTTTCCCTGTACCATCTGTAACAAGAATTTTCCTAAAAAGAGTAATTTGACTTCTCATATGAGAATTCACACAGGTGAGAAGCCTTTTCCCTGTACCATCTGTAACAAGAATTTTCCTAAAAAGAATTATTTGACTTCTCATATAAGAACTCACACAGGTGAGAAGCCTTTTTCCTGTAACATTTGTACCAAGAAGTTTACTCAAAAGAGTCATTTGACTTCTCATATGAGAATTCACACAGGTGAGAAGCCTTTTTCCTGTAACATTTGTCACAAGAAGTTTACTGTAAATAGTAGTTTGACTACTCACAAGAGAATTCATACTGGTGAGAAACCTTTTGAATGTCTGTCCTGTGGAAAAAGCTTTACTGAGAAATCTACTCTTGATCAACACATCAGAATTCACTCAGGTGAAAAGCCTTTTTCCTGTACTATTTGTCACAAGAACTTTACCGTAAAGAGTAATTTGACTTCTCATATGAGAATTCACACAGGTAGGAAACCTTTTGTTTGTCTGTTCTGCGGAAAAAGCTTCACTAAGAAAGCTACTCTTGATCAACACATCAGAATTCACACAGGTGAAAAGCCTTTTTCCTGTACTATTTGTAACAAGAATTTTACTGTAAAGAGTCATTTGACTTCTCATATGAGAATTCACACTGGTGATAAGCCTTTGTAATGTCTGTCCTATGGAAAAAGCTTCACTATAAAATATAATCTCAATAGACACATCCAAATTCACAGGTGAGAAGCCTTTTGAATGTGTTTCCTGTGGAAAAAAGCTTCACCAAAAAATCTTATCTTGATACACACCTCAGAATTCACACAGAAGAGAAGCCTTTTCCTGTACCATTTGTGGCAAAAGATTTACTCTAAAAAGTCTTTTAACTAGACAGGTAATTCACATGAGAGAGAGTGAGTAGCTGTTCCCCTTAATGATTTGTGACAAAGGTTTCAAACATTAAGGTATTTTGAGTATTTAGATTACATTTATTCATGCATGATGGGAAATGATTTACATCTTTAAAAAACAAACATTTGGTTCACATAAGTCGCAGCAGTTAGATGCCACAGGAATGAACAGTAGAGGCGGTTTCATATTTGTCTGGTGATAAGATGTCTATCTAAATACTCCACCTCATTTCATATGAAACTCACGTTTCGAAGAGGAGAAAACCATTGATTTACAGCTGTTTTTATATAGAAACTAGAACTGATAAGGTGTTATATTGTAAACCTGGTAGATATTGAGGTCGTGGGCGATTATGTGGATGTGAACATTTTAAGCTAATTATTTTGGGTCTGAGTTAATTGGATTTAAATGCCAAAAATTGTTGCCCTAACAAAAAAAAAGGGTTTACATTTATGATTTCTTAATTTCTATCTACTGAAGGGAATAAACACAATAAAGTGCAACAACAGCATCCTGGCTACAGATGAAGCAAGTTAGCATCCATACAACAAGCAATTGAGAAGTTCTAGATATTTAAATTGAAAAAAAATCCAGACAGAGCCCTGCTGTGCCATCTTGACAGGGGGGTAGGATTGATTTTAACTTTGATAGAGACACTATTGGTCTGATGTCATTGGTCCTATGCAAAAATATGCATGCTCGTTTTTTTAAATCAGGGTGTATTTCATTTAAAGAGAAAAGCAGCATTTCTTGCTACATTTATACAAATTTTATAAGCACTACACTAGATGCTGTTTATCAATGACTGATGCTTAACTGGCTCTGATGAATGAGGAATTAGGTCTTTTTTCCACTTTGAAAAGGTTTGCATTAGAAAGTACCAGCGACTAAGACATTAGGTAAATCTGTGCCTATTTAACAGAATGTAGTCTAAATATGTCTGTTATTTGTGGATTTATACTTTTTTTTTATTTTGAAGATATAGAATTGTGCAGATGTAAATAGAGGTAAAACCCACTCTTTTAAATCTTCTCTTTGTATCATGAAACAAAGCGAAATAAAAAATTCAAGGGAAACCAAATAAATGCATTGTATTTACATGTGCCCTGGAACTAGAAGAGGAACTGACACTGAGCATTTAATATATTAACCTCACTCTACAAGTTGTAAATCTAGGATTTATTTATTATTTATTGCACCAAACAGGTATTATAACTTCTTTTTATACAAAGAATTAGGGGGGGAAAAAAACAACAAAATAGAGCTCTTTGATAACAAAACAAAAATAGAAAAAAAAAGTTCAAATAAAAGTGTCCTTTTCTTCTGTGTCAGGAGAAAAAGCTTAGATCCTTGTGGTGTGTGTGTGTGTGTGTGTGTGTCTGTTTATATATTCTTCTACTACCCGGGTAGTTTTTTTTAATTGTTTCTATTGAGCGCGCTTATCTGTATCAGAGAAGTTGGTAGATTTCTGTAGTCCTCTTGGAGTGGATCCCGTTCTCCGCTTCCTGTCGCTTGGCTCGCCACTGAACCACAGAAGGTTCAGAATTCATGCAGATCGACTCCTGATCCAGCAGAAAAATAAAACCAATCGGAGTTCAGAGGGCTTAGAGGTGGTTGAAGTAGTTCCTCTCTCTTCCTCAAGGCTCATAAAATCTTCTTGATCCCGTTTATTAGCTCAACAGATGATTTTTTTCTCAGTTTGTGTATCGGCAGTGAGTGTAGCTTGGTCCATCAGTGGGATTTCACATGCTCAGTGGCAGGAACCTAATCCAATGCGTCACCATGTGGCGGAGATCATAACTACCGTTGTGTTCTCAAATAACATACGTGGGTCTAGTAACCATGTGGGTTACACCCTCCCCTCTTGAATCAACATGAGTCCCTTCATGAGCTGATCTCTGATTCACATGGGGGTTGTCGCAGCTATTTAGAGTGTCCAGTGCTTGATTAAAGCTCTCTAAAATACTCTGTGCAAAGGACATTAAAGGTTTCCCTAACTGAATGTAGTGGAACCGTTCAGGGGGTTTTCGGGACCTTTCTGACCTCCTTGTGGGGTCAGGTGTGTTTCTTCCTGTTTCACTTTCAGTTTCTTTATCAGATGTTTCAGGGTGATTTGGCCCCGCTTCTTGTGGAACCTCTGCAGTCCCTGCATCTGCAGGGCTCTCTCCAATTCCATTCATTTTATGCAGTTCCTGTCCATTCATCACATTCTTTTCATTTGTCATATCCATTTTGTTTGTCATATCCATCTCATTTTCTTGTGTCTCATCCAGTTGTGCACAGCCCCCTCCAGCAGAGGACTGCTCAACCATGACCTCAGGCTCATCTCCTTCTACCAGCTCAGAAGGTGTTCCAACAGTTTTAGCAGTGGAATTGTTGTCTTCAGGATAATTCTGAGGCTGGGAGGTCGAGGGAACCGATGGCACAGCCAGCAACCCTCCATGCTCAAGGTTTGAATTGGGTTGCTGTCTCCTTGGAATTCCACACACCTGTGTGAATTGTTCTTCAGGAGAAACTGAGGACAGGCTTGGATAGATAACCAAGTCATCCTCAGATTCCGAGAGTTCCTCCAGGATTTGTGGATGATTCTGCCTAGTTCTTGGCCTGCGGACCTGAGGTTTGACTGGTTCAGTCTCCTCGGCTTCAGATAGGTCACCACAAGGAAGCAGCAAGTCCCTATGTAGAGTCCGGATGGGACCATCACCCTCTACTGACTGTACTTTGTACACTGGTAAGTCTCCAACTTTTTCAAGAACGTTGTACATACCGGACTCCCACTTGTCTGCAAGCTTGTGTTTACTTCGGAACCTCAGGTTTTTCACTAACACTTGATCCCCTTTCTCTAGCGTTGACTCTCGTACTCCCTTGTCAAAATAGCCTTTGTTCCGATCAGCAACCTTTTTTGAGTTCCTGGTGGCAATCTGATAACTCTCCTCAAGGCGTGCTTTCAGATGTTTCACGTACTGAGAATGGGATTTGGGAGAGCCCTCTTTCACCGGTAAGCAGAAGGCAATGTCTATTGGTAAACGAGGTTGACGTCCAAACATCAATTCATACGGGCTGAACCCCGTGACATCGTTCCTGGTGCAGTTATAGGCATGGGTGAGTGGTTTTACATAATCTCGCCAGTGGCTTTTCTCCTTGTCTTTTAAGGTTCCCAACATGCCTAGCAGGGTTCGATTGAACCTCTCTACAGGGTTTCCTCGTGGGTGATAGGGCGTGGTACGCACCTTTGTGATGCCTGCTACAGCACAGAGTTCTTTGATGAGTTGGGATTCAAAATCCCGGCCCTGATCACTCAGCAGACGCTCAGGGAACCCATAGTGCACGAAGAACTGCTCCCAAAGGGTTTTGGCGACTGTTGTAGCCTTCTGGTCTTTTGTCGGTATAGCAACCGCATACTTGGTAAAATGATCTGTAATGACCAAGATGTCCTTGGTATTGTGGCTGTCCGGTTCTAGTGACAAGTAGTCAATGCACACCAACTCCATGGGGCGAGTTGTGTGGATATTCACAAGGGGTGCTGACCTTTCTGGCTTTGTCTTCCTTCGGACACAACGCCCACATGACTTGATCTTTTTTTCCACATCTGCAGCCAATTTAGGCCAGTAGAATCTTGTTCTAACCAAGTCAAGGGTTCTATCGAAACCCATATGTCCCATATCCTCATGTAAGGACTTGAGAATTGAAGCACGAAGAGACTTGGGAGCAACAAACTGGTAAGTAACATCATCTCCTGTTTGACGCGTTCTATACAAAAGACCATTTCTCATCTCCAACCTTTTCCTTCCCTTGAGCATCAGCTTGAGCTCTAAGGACTCAGGAGAGAGGTTGGCCTCATCCCTTCCTTCCAAGACTTGGAGAACCTGTCCGATGATTGGGTCAGCCCTTTGATGTTGCTGGAGCTCTTCTGTACTGTAGGTGGGTATGGTAGAGCAACCTAACATGTTTTCATTTCCATAAGTGTCTGGAATCGCATCTGGATGGATGGCAAGGGATTCAACCAATGTGATGGAAGGTAGGTCATCAACTACCTGAGGTAAAAGACGGTGTTGACATAACACAGCAACTGCGTCTACAGGCAAGCTTTGTTGATCTGGAGATGAAGAAAGATGGTGAGAAGCAAACTTTTTGATTCGCTCCTTCTCTTCAAGGGATGCATGATCATCTGCTATATTGTCTTGCGGCCGTCTAGAAAGACCATCGGCATCCTGGTTGCTCTTCCCAGCACGGTATTTTATGTCAAAGTTGAAGGTCGAAAGAGCTGCTAGCCAGCGATAACTGGCAGCATCTAGTTTGGCTGACTTTAGTATATAGGTCAAAGGATTGTTATCCGTTATGACAGTGAACGTATTACCATAAAGGTAATCATGAAACTTTTCAACAATCGACCATTTAAGAGCTAGGAATTCTAGCTTATGCGCGGGATAACGTTTTTCACTGGATGAAAGGCCTCTGCTCGCATAAGCAATGACTCGCATTTCACCATCCTGTTCTTGGTACAGGGCAGCCCCTAGACCTGAAGTGCTGGCATCAGTATGGAGCACATATTGTAGTTTTGGGTCAGTAAAACCAAGGACAGGTGCAGATGTGAGTTTTTCTATGATCAGGTCGAAAGCTTTTTGACATTCAGGAGTCCAGCGCTCATTAAAGGGCTCCTTGGGGTTGAAGTACGAACCAGGGCTAGATGTCTTTTGGCCCTTTCGGTAAGGTGGGTAGCCGCTGGTAAGATCATTCAGGGGTTTGACTATTTTAGAATAGTCTCTGACAAAGCGGCGGTAGTACCCTGCAAAGCCTAAAAAAGACTTGAGATCACCAAGTGTTTGGGGCCTAGGCCAGGTGCGGAGTGCACTGACCTTATCGGGGTCAGTCTCTACTCCTCTGCTAGAAACAATGTGGCCTAAATACCTTACAGAGCTCTGGAAGAATTGGCATTTTTTGGGAGAGAGTTTCAAGCCATTTTCTCTTAGTTGCTGGAGGACATGTTTAAGCCTAATTTCATGCTCTTCTAACGTGTCAGAAAAGACGATGATGTCATCCAAAAACACCAGTACTTCCTTCAGATTGAGGCTCCCCATGACTCGTTCCATCAGTCGTTGGAAGGTACTGGGGGCATTTGTGATGCCTTGGGGCATGCGGTTGAATTCATAGAACCCCAAGGGACACACAAAAGCGGTCTTGTGCTTATCGCGTTCCTCCATCTCAATCTGGTAATATCCTGATTTTAAGTCCATTACTGAGAACCATTTGGATCCAGCAAGAACTGAAAAAACTTCCTCAGGATTTGGCAATGCGTATGCATCCTTGATTGTCAGTGAATTGAGTTTGCGGTAGTCGATGCAAAGACGGACCTCCCCATTCTTTTTACGGACTACCACTATTGGGGAAGCGTAAGGGGACTCTGACTCGCGAATCACCCCTGCATCTAGCAGTGTTTGCAAATGTTTTCTGACAGCCTCATAGTCGTTTGGGTGGATTGGTCGGGGCCTTTGTTTAAATGGGGAGTCGTCTTTTAGATTTATATGGTGCTTTACTTTGGTTGCATGCCCAAAATCAAAATGTTGGCATTCACATATCCTTCTACACAGACTCTTGTTTTAGCAGGTAAGATTTGGTGCACTTTATCTTTTAGAGTAGCTAACCCTATTCTTCCCATAGAGTTAACTTTGTTTCTGAGCCTGAGTACACGAATAATCTGCCTGTA